TTTTGGTTTTTTGAGATATTTGGTGAGGGTGATGGGATGAGAGATATATGGAAGGGGTCGGGTGATTACGTGGCAAAGAGGGGGGTGTACGTGGGGAGTGTGTGTGAATGTGGCTGCTGGCAAGGGCTTTGACATGCCTTCTTGTCCTACTTTTTTTTTTGTCAACAATGAGGGTATTCCCACATTCATTCTGGGATATCGCCGATCCCCAGCCATCACCAATCCCACTTAGGAAGATTGACCATTGGTCGGGAGAATGGAATTATCTAGATCAAGCCTTTTCAAGGCCAGCTTTCCACAGAGGGTGGGACCAATCCTTCCAGGAAGTTCAGAGAGCCCCTAACCCCAAACCCCATGATAGTGGGATCGATCCCGCGACGTTTGGCTTTCAATCCACTTCCCACATGACCTTACAGGCAAAGGGGCCACCACTGGACTTCACGCCCCAAGGGCCCTACTTTGTTTTCTGTCTTGCAAAAAATATTTGAGGATGTGAGTTTTGGTTTTTGCACCTTCGCCATTCTTATCCTCTACATTTTTCTCTCCTTTTTTTTACTATATTCTAAAAGTTTTTATTTATTTATTATTTATTTATTTTTGGTTGAATTTGGATATATATATAAGGAAAATGCTAAGGCCATGTTACGGAATCATTTCGTTAGGGTTTGTAACCGTTAGATCATCATGTAACCGTTAGAGATAATTGATTTAACGGTTACAAACCTCAACAGAATGGTTCCGTAACATAACGGACCGTAGCATCTTCCTATATATAAACCGTAGTGATTCCAGTTATTTTCCCATGATCGAGAAAGACAAATTCATGGGGTCGTATGTTGAGTCAAAATTGGGTATCAACCCATTTCTTTTGACAACACCACAAAGAAGAAAAAATGTAGCACACCTTTGTGGAAAATCTTATGCCTCATTTCTCTATAAAGAGAGATAAAGTCTGATGAGCAAATCACACCAAAAATACAATATCAACACTAGAGAGAAAAAGAGAAGAGAGAGTGTATTCATACGGCCTTGTGTGAATTGTATAATTCGGTTTATCCTCTTCTTCTAGTTCATTCTCCTGGCTTGATTCGTCCACAAACGTAGGATTTAATCCGAACTGGGTTAACAAATCTTCGTGTCTTTTATTGATTTCACATTGTGTTATTATTATTCCATCTTATCCGACTTTATTTCCCAACAACTGGTATCAGAGCCAAGAGGTTGGAGATAAGATGGAGGGAAAGATTCCAGTCGAATGGTTCAATGCTTCCGACTTTGGATTATGGCGAATGCAAATGGAGGCTTACCTGTACGGGAAGGACCTCTACGTACCTCTTGGGGAAAAACTCGAGAAGATGAGCGATGATGAATGGAAGGTGCTCGATCGGAAGGCGATGAGCGCTATAATTCTTTCGCTCTCTCAGAACGTCGCCTACCATGTGAAGGGAGCAAAAAGCACGAAGGAGGTCTTGCAGACACTCGCCGACATGTATGAAAAACCATCAACAATAAAAAGGTGATGCTGATGAAAAAGTTGTTCAAATTGCAAATGGAGGAGAAAAAGTTAGTGGCCGATCATCTCAACGATTTCAACCAACTCACGACGCAGCTGGCATCGGTGGATATTTCGTTTGATGATGAGGTAAAAGCCCTAATCTTGCTCTCATCATTGCCGAACAGTTGGGACGTGGTTGTTACTTCGGTGAGCACTTCTTCTGGCAAGGAGAAGATGAAGTTCGACAACATAAGAGATATGATGTTGAATGAGGAGACCCGCAGAAATCAGGCGGGTGGGTCGTCTGGCTCAGCCCTACATACAGAGTCCAGAGGGAGACCCGAAATATGAGGGAACATTCGTGGGAGGTCAAAATCCAGGGGGAGGAATAAAGGCAAGAAAGAGATGGTGTGTTGGAACTGCGAGAAGCCTGGGCATATGAAAAGCGAATGCCGTGCACCAAGGAATGACAAAGAGGGCCGAACAGCCAATGCCGCGACAGAGGACACGGCGGATGCACTCTTGTTGAGTGTAAGAAGCTCGCTCGATGACTGGATCGTGGACTCAGGGGCCTCGTTTCACTCTTGCAGTAGCAGAGACATCATGGAGCCATACACGGCATGTGATTTTGGCGTGGTATATCTTGCAGACAACAAACCCCTAAAAATTGTAGGGAACGAAGATGTGCAGATCAAGTCCGCAAATGGGTCATGCTGGACCCTACGGGATGTGAAGCGCATTCCAGGACTGAAGAGGAATCTCATCTCAGTTGGACAGCTGGACAATGACGGCTTCCACACAATGTTTGGAAACGGAAAGTGGAAGGTCAGTCGAGGAACTATGACTTTGGCAAGAGAGCTGAAGTCAGGAACGCTTTACATGGCGGGTGGATCTAGCTCAAACATTCCCTTGGCAGGAGATGTCTCACAATCGCACTTGTGGCATAGTCGCTTGGGCCACATGAGCGAGAAAGAAATGAAGGTACTGAAGTCGAGCGAACTTTTGCCCGAGCTGGAGCCAGTGGATGTGAGTCTCTGCGAGCATTGCGTTCTTGGAAAGCAGAAGCGAGTAAGCTTCATGACCACAGGGAGAGCTCCAAAGACAGAAAAACTGGAGCTCGTGCACACTGACTTATGGGGGCCAACACTGATGACATCTCTTGCAGGATCGATGTATTACATGACGTTCGTCGATGACTGCACAAGAAAGGTATGGGTGTACTTCCTGAAAAGAAAATTCGATGCCTTTGATACTTTCAGGAGATGGAGAGCACTCGTGGAGAAAGAGACATGTCTAGAAGTGAAATGTCTCAGATCCGACAACGGTGGCGAGTACAACAGTGAAGCCATCAAGGAATACTGCACTGATCATGGGATCCGAATGCAGAAGACGGTTCCAGGGACACCTCAGCAAAATGGCATTGCTGAGAGGATGAACAGGACACTGAATGAGCGTGCGAGATGTATGCGATTGAAGAGCGGACTGCCCAAGATGTTTCAGGAAGAAGCAGTCAGCACGGCTACTTTCTTGATCAACCATGAGCCTTCTGTCCCACTGAACAACAGAATTCCAGACGAGGTCTGGAATGGTAAGGAAGTTGATCTCTCTTTCTTACGTACCTTTGGTTGTTTGGCTTACATTTTGAACGATGACCAGACAAAGATGGATGCTAAGTCTGTCAAATGTGCATTCATTGGATATGGGACTGACGAATTTGGGTATAGCTTTTGGGATGATCAAAATCGGAAAATAATTCACAGTCGTAATGTGGTGTTCAATGAAAACATAATGTACAAGGACATGGAGGAATACCCGGACGATGACAAGAGTAGGCATGAGTATGTTGGTATCGATATTTAAAGTACCAGAATCATGAGCCCAGCAGATTCAGTGGGAGCTCAGATGGATGAGATCGAGCGTACCGAAGAAGAGACAAAATCTGAATCGGAAAAACCAATTGCTGAGAGAAGCACGCCCCTGACACTGGGCCGAGAACCGAGGATGAGAAGGGCCCCAGATAGGTACTCCCCTTCTCTTTATTACCTACTTTTATCTGATTCTGGGGAACCCAACTGTTATGCAGAGGCAGTTAAAGATGCCCACAAGAGCAAGTGGGAGCTTGCGATGGATGACGAGATGAGCTCGTTGAAGAAGAACCACACATGGGATTTGTGTGATCTCCCACAAGGAAAGAAGGCGCTTCAAAATAGATAGGTCTATCAGGTCAAGGAGGAATCAGATGGAACACAACGGTACAAGGCCAGACTTGTAGTAAAGGGATTCCAACAGATATACGGTATTGACTTTACCGATGTTTTTACACCTGTTGTTAAGTTAACCACTATTCGTCTAGTGTTAAGCATGGTAGCGGCAGAAAACTTGGAGTTCCAACAGTTAGATGTGAAGACGACCTTTCGGCATGGGGATCTCGAGGAGAAAATTTACATGGTGCAGCCAGAGGGGTATAAAGAAAATGATCAGCAGGTTTGCCGCCTAAAGAAGAGCTTGTACGGACTGAAACAGACTCCTCGACAGTGGTATCGAAAATTCGATAATTTCATGCTGGAGATAAGATACTCCAGGTGTAATGCTGATCATTGTTGCTATGTGAAAAAGTTCGGTAACTCTTTCATTATTTTACTGCTATATGTGGATGACATGCTGATAGCAGGATCAGATCAAGGAGATCGAGAGGCTCAAGGATCAGCTATCAAGGAGATTTGATATGAAGGATCTAGGAGAAGCGAGCCAGATACTGGGCATGAAAATCACGAGGGACAAGAATGCTGATAAACTTTGGCTTTCTCAATATGATTATATTGAGAAGGTGTTGTGCAGATTCAATATGAATATTGCAAAGCCGGTTGGAGTGCCATTGGGAAGCCAGTTCAAGTTGTCCAACAAGGATTCGCCCAAAAATGACTCTGAAAAAGAAAGGATGAGAGTTACGCCGTATGCTTCGGTCATCGGGAGCCTAATGTACGCTATGGTTTGCACCCGACCAGACATAGCACATACAATGGGAGTAGTCAGCCGGTTCATGAGCAATCCTGGAGTGATACACTGGGAGGTGGTAAAGTGGATCCTTAGGTACCTGAGGGGTACTAAAGACCGGGCATTGGTATTTGGCAGGGGTACCCTTACCCTGTCTGGGTTTGTCGATGCTGATTTTGCAGGAAGTGATCATGACAAGAGGAGGAGTACTACTGGGTACATGTTCACTTACGGCGGGACGGCCGTATCCTGGATCTCAAAGCTGCAGAAGATAGTCACATTGTCCACAACGGAAGCTGAGTACGTGGCAGTGACGGAGGCAGCCAAGGAGCTCGTTTGGCTGCAAAACTTCCTGAATGAACTTGGGATACCTCAAGAGGATGTGGCTCTATACAGCAATAGCCAGAGTGCAATCCATCTGGCAAAGAACCCCGCGTTTCACTCGCGAACGAAGCACATCAAGGTTAAGTATCATTTTATCTGGCAACTTCTAGAGAAGAAGATGCTGCAGCTGAAAAAGGTTTGGGGAGATAGGAATCCTGCAGACATGTTGACCAAGATGGTAACTTTGGAAAAGTTGAAGCTGTGTGTAGCTTCGACCGGCCTTGATGATTAAAACAGACAAACCCGGCAGAACCAGGAGCATAGATGAACATGTTGAACATGTTAGTCAATCCTCAAGTGGGAGATAACGAAGGTGTGAGGACAGATTGAAATCAGTCCTCAAGTGGGAGATTGTTGAGTCAAAATTGGGCATCAACCCATTTGTTTTGACAGCACCACAAAGAAGAAAAAATGCAGCACACCTTTGTGGAAAATCTTATGCCTCATTTCTCTATAAATAGAGATGAAGTCTGATGAGCAAATCACACCAAAAATACAATATCAACACTAGAGAGAAAAAGAGTAGAGAGAGTGTATTCATACGGCCTGGTGTGAATTGTAACATTCGGTTTATCCTCTTCTTCTAGTTCATTCTCCTGGCTTGGTTCATCCCAAGACGTAGGATTTAATTCGAACTGGGTTAACAAATCTTCGTGTCTTTTATTGATTTCACATTGTGTTATTATTATTTCATCTTATTCGACTTTATTTCCCAACATCGTATATATAATTAAGTATTGTGTGAGCAATTATTATTTTGTGTATGTGTTTTAATTTATCCCCATCTGCGTTTGTGCGGTAATTTTAAGAAACTTCTAAAATAATTTATGTTATAAGTAATACTAGTTCATTTGATTATTTCATTTTTTGCTAATAAAATATATGATTGTACATATTTATTAAACACTTTTTTAATTATTTTATATTAAAACTATATACTTCTATATTTTAACTAACCGGACGGTATCCTTTTCCTATATTTTAAACATACAAAATATTTCTATTTTTTATATAATTTTTATAGAGGTTTAACATTAAAAAATATACAATTTGATAAAGTATTAAAATTTTTGAATAATTTTTTTTTATATCAGTTTAAAATAAAAACATAAATATCTTTTGGTGTGAGAGATGAAAATTGTTGGGTAAGGGGGGCTGCTGTGGCTAACTTACAGCAGTCCCAGCTGTTAAATATCACCATTAGATTCCTTTACAATAGAAAATAAATCAAGGGCTATAAATAAATGACAAATTGATACCTGCAAGAGAAAAAAAGAGGAGCAGTAACACCAAATTATACCATCACCAATTTTTTCTTCATCTTCGTGCTCACAGTCTCGGCCTGATCAAGAAACCTAACTGGAAACACAACGTTCGCCTCAGATCCCGCGTTTCTCACTTAAACACACACTTCATTTCCAGAATCATAGCTATCCACTCCAGCGACGTTCCACTCTGCGCTGATTTTTTCCGATGGGTTTGCAGGCAATCGACTTACTGTTACAGGTTTGCACACAATCAACCCATCAGCTCTGATATTTATCTAATTATTGGGACCCCGGATCGGTTGTCTACGTCTCCCTCGGGAGCCTATTGAGCCTCGCTGCCTCGCAGTTCGTGGAGCTCGGGTTGGTCCTGAAGGCGTCGGGCCGACCTTTCGTGTGGGTCGTGAGGAGGAGCGCGCCGGACGAGGAGCTTGAGGAGAGGGTGCGAGATAGGGGCCTCGTGATCCACGGGTGGGCCCCGCAGGTGATGATACTCTCACACCCGAGCATCGGGGGGTTCGTGACGCACTGCGGGTGGAATTCAAAGCTCGAGGGGACGGCGTCGAGGGTGCCGTTGCTGACGTGGCCCATCTTCTTAGACCATTTCTGCAATGAAAAGTCCATCGTGAACATGGTGGGGACGGGTGTTCGGGCCTGTCGTGTTTGTGGGATAAAATGGCGGAGGAGGAGTTCAGGTGAAGTCGGGAGTTGTTAAGGCGGCTATCGAGGAGTTGATGGATGGAGGAGAGAAAGGGAGAAAGAGGAGAGCAAGAGCATGAGGGCTCGGGAATAAAGCGAGACGAGCAATAGAGGAAGGACGCTCGTCTTACATTAACATGATGAGCCTTATACGACTGGTCGAGGGCCAACTAGGATAAACTGATAGTAAATTGTTTGTTCAATAAGACGCGTGCGGAGAGTGGTGGCTTTGGTTTATTTTGTATTAATAATATGTATTTTGAAACGTATAATTATCACGGTGTGCGCGAATTGTAGTATGAACTAAAATAAGAACTGAAGAATGCGGAAGCAATACACCGAAGATTTTAAAAAACTCTTCAGGGAAGCGTCCCACTTCCCCTCGGAGCTCTTTCATTGATAGATCAAACACGAACATAGTTTGGACTTACAAAGACTCGAACTCCCTTCAAGCCTAGCCAACACTACTCACGATCCTCTCAACTATTTCTCCGGCCACGTCCCGTGAACTTTTATCCTACACTTACTCCCTTAGTGTAAAAACAAAAGATAGTTTTGATGAAGTAAAGAAACTAAACAAAATACAACTTCAGTCCTTGAGTGTGTAAGAACTCTCAAACTGAACTGTGTACAAAACTAAATAGAATAGAAAATATGAAGCTCAGCTATTGCTCTAAAAATCTCTCTAACTTCAGCAGCCGCAATAGGAGCTTCCTCTAGGGTATTTATATAAACTCCTTAGGGTTGGAGTCTTCTACAAGGCATAGGACTCCAATCTTGATTTCTTTCCATAAGAATAGCACATCTTTGGTAAGTAAATCTTTTATTCTTTCTCATTGATCTCCTATCCATGCACGCCTCTTCTCTTCTTTATCTCTCTCACGTCCGATTCCCTACAAAATAAAATACCATAATAAGACCCATAATATCTTATATATGGAATATTAAATAAACTTAATTTAGGAAATAAAATAAATAAAGATCTCCCCTTTATTTCTTTGGTTCCAGGTGCTTGTTCGAACTGACGAACTAATGCCAACTAAAATATCTTTCAATCTCCCCATTTGGCATCTAGTACGAAAATACCAGACTCGAAAGTCTCCTGAAAATTAAAAGAACAAGCACCAAAAAATAAAATCACAACCAGGGTTAGTCCAATTAATCACAAGGCTGTGTACAAGCACAGTTCTCCCCCTTAGTTCCTGCAGCCATCAAAACTCAACAGAATGTACCTAACAATTTCCATTCAATCAGAATAAGTAGTCATCAAAAGTAGCAAACCAACTACATCCAAAATAACTAAAAACAGTAGCAACCAGATCACAAAAGCAAACAAATACGAGGTTCTTTATTACATAAAGACCTCCCTACATCCCTCAACAGAAACAACCTACTACTCATCATCATAATACTTCGCAATAGCCTCGTCAGTGCTATCTCCCCCAGAATCAGAATCTTCATCATCACCTTTGCTAGCAGCAGCAGCTGAACCCTTCTCCCCCTTTTTTGAACTACGGGATGCCGAAGGGCCTGTCCCCGAGTTCTTGCGCTTCGTCCCCTTGACTGCTTGCAGCACTTGTCGAAGGTAGGCCTGCTGAGCAGCTACTTTCTTTGCCAAATCATCCCACTCTCCAAGTTGCTGTGCCACGAATTCATCCCAGTTTTTAGGGACCAAGGAGGGAGCCAGTTCCCTTCTGACCTTGGTTGTCCCTTTTTCATTAAGAGTGCGAGCACTCACAGAGAATGCTTTTCCTGGGTTCTCGAGAGAGTCTTGGTAGCGGGGATTGACAGCGAAATTGTGGGCAGCCAAGCAGGACCAAATAAGACAATGAAAAGGAAGAGTTTTGCGAGACTCAATATTAGTGACAAAGGTGTGAAGAATTTCAAAGACAAGATCCCCAAAGCTGAAAACCTTCCCAATCATGACCCAATAAATGACTTTACTCTGGGACTCCGTGAGCAAGGTTTTGTTCGAAGTAGGAGTCCAGTTGCCAGCACCGATTTTATGCAACAGATTAGCAACCAAGCAAAGTGAACTCACAGGCAAATTAGAACCAAGCCATGTATCTAATTGACCAGAAGTAAGAACTTTGGTCATTGCATCCAAATCAACCTCAGTGAGGGAAGAGTTATCAAGATCAGAGGGCAAACCAAGATGAACATTAAACAAGGCAGGAGACACATCAATCACACAGTTTCGAAGAAAGAGTTTGTGAAAACGAGGGCTATTAGAATCAAAAACTGCAGGGGTGAGATTAGCATAGAATTCTTTGACAACTTGCCCACAGAAAGGCTGAAGATCAGACACGGTTTTAGATAAACCGACAGACTCTATCAGACGAAGAATACCAAGATCAGCAAGCTTACCATCTTCCACAACACGTTCAGACCAGAACCCATAAGATCCAAAACTAACAAAGCGATCATGAGCCGCCTCGGTATAGAACCGATTGGTGAAGGTGTTCTCAAGGTCATAAGCATCGTCTTCAGGTTCAGGTGGAACAAGGGGCGCATCAATGGATTCTTTGCCACGGCGTCGAGTGGAACGGCGTACTGAAATCTTCGATGTAGGCGTTGGCTGATCAAAATGAACTTCTACTAGAGTTGCTGCGGTGTCCTTCTTTTCTTCTTCGGCCGTTTTGGTAGTGGACTTGGACGCAGTCTTGGTCGCAGACTTGCTCGCCGAAGTTGGAACAGCAGACGACTCCCCCTGAGTCTGAGCCTCTGGGACGTCATCGAACCCTGACAGACCAGGTACACCTGTGGCAAGTGGGATTGGGCCTGGCAGCATGATCGTGGGTCTTGACTCAAAAATCTCTCAGGATGGCTCGGAATGGTTCAGGTGGTTCCGGTGGCTTAGAAATGACTTAAAAATGGCACATCTTCCCAAGCTTCACGATATGGACCTAATGAACACCAAAATAAACAAGAAAATATGGCAAAACACACGAGCACAATACAAAACAAAAATACATGAAAAATGACAAAATGGACCGATCAACTCTAAAATGAACCTAAAAAAATAGACTTAGGCACGAAAAACTCACGAGATAAGCACAAAAACAGAACAAGCAAGGGCTCGGGAACTCGCGAGCTAGGTGGGTGTTTTCTCGGGGCGCAGACGCACGATGTGGCAGGGGGAAACTCACGAGCAAGTTGGACTAGCGAACTAGGGTCAAATTTTTATAGGCTGGCTGCATAACTCGCGAGCTAGGCGAAGTTGGATTCGCGGGCTAGTTTTAGACACGCGAGCATAACTTGAACTTGCTAGCTGGACGAGAACGGATTTGCGGGCGCGAGTGGGCCTTGGAAACGAGCGTGCACGGTCGCTTCGAGTGCTCGGGCGCTAGGAGCAAGGTCTTGGGACTTTTGCCGAGGCAATTGACCGAGAATTCTCCGGGCACTTTTCCGCTGATTTTTTGATCATTTTCAGATGACTCTCCGTAATGCAAAATCCTATAAATAAAAGATAAAAAAAAAGAAGTAAAAAACACAAGACACTAAAACAACACTAAAATGAGCAAATATGACAAAATGGACTAGGAAAAACCTAAAATAAAATGAAACGAACACAAATAAAACATATAAAAACACACAAAATAACATAAAAAACATACAAAACATGTGGGACCCGCCCTGCAAAGCCGCATGTCGTTGTCGTATCGCATTTTATGTTTACGTGCTGACATCGTGAACCATTCTCGTGAGTTTTATACTATAAATACCCTTCATTCATTGTATTAACAGTAGAATTGATAATTTTCCTAAAATATAACTTTTAGGTTGTATTAACCCGAGTTGTTTACTATAAAAAAATCACGGTCATCCGAGAATTTATAATATTTTTACTTACGAAAATTTTCTAAATCTTTGATCCCAATCTGTTGATGTAGGAAAGGACAGTAAGTTGATATGAATTTATAATATTTTTACTTATGAAACCAATTTGTTATATTCAAATCAAAATGGTTTATTTCTGAGATGTGTGGTGTTGTGTGAAAAGAAGTAAAAGAAAAAGGAAATCAAAATGATTTAAAAATGAGCGATAAGCATAGAAAATTCTCTCAATGGGGAGTTTTATTCTCTTTTGGTAGAGACACATTCCTTATTTGGTAGGCTTCACTATTGAGAGTTTGGGATTGTGCGTGGGCATTCTGGTTTTACGGGGGTGTGGGATTGGGTTATTAATGCCTTTTCTTCAGTCCTGTCCAATATACAATTAGGGCTTTTGCTCTCAGATTGATATTGGATTTTTCCCTGTTCCCGATTTCAATGGAATTTACATCTAAAGGATCGTCTAATTCCAAAGGTCTGGCGGAGAAGTTAGAAGTTTGTTGAAAAATATTGCATTGCCAGAAACCGAAAGCAAACTCATTGAATTGAAAGACGACAACATCAAAATTAGCGATAAAGAGTGCCAGAAAAGTCTGTTTGGTAAAATAATAGGAGATCGAAAGGCAAGCTTAATTGGCATTACACGCGCTATGGGTGGCATCTGGCAAATTCAACACCAAGTGGAGGCAAAAGAGCTCAAATCGAACTTCTTTCAATTCATATTTGGTAGCAATGAGGATAAGCTAAAAGTGGAATTAGGAGTTAAATGGATTTTCAAAAATCAGTATCTCATCTTGACCATCAGGGAAGAAGGGTTAAATGAAACTCATAGCAAGTTCAAAGAGCTGAACTTATGGGTACAAGTCAGTAATCTTCCTTTAAATTGGCTTTGCACGAACGTGAGCCTTAAGATAGGAAATGTATTCGAGCATACTAGAAATATCTCAGTTATAAAGACTGGGGAAGGCGGGGGGCAAAGAGGTAGCTTCCTAAGAATTCTAGTGGTTGTTGATGTTTCTGAGCCTCTCCCAAGATTTGCTAGCATGAAGCTTAACAATACTCAAGTCTTGGCTAGGTTCCAATATGTAAAACTTTTGAACATCTGTTTCTATTGTGAGATTATAGACTATCTCGAAAGATCCTGCAAAAAGAAAGAGGAAGATATGTCTAATGGTGTGTCAAATGAGGGACAATATGAAGAATAGCTCAACGCTATGGATGGTAATTTTGGTTTCAAATCGCACTCTCCTTCAAACACAAGAAGTCAAACAGATAACTCACCAAGCCATACTCTTGCCAGTCAAGAGAAAGGAGAAGACTTTTTAGATCTCAGTGGAAAGCAGAAGCCAGACAATTACCCCCCAAGGACATCTACAGAGTTACTTAAACCAAGTATAGGATTTCAACACCCTTAGGATCCAAATACAACCATCCTAAAACTCCCTTCACCAACATTCTCTCAGATGAATACCTCTACTAGTGATCTGATGGAACCTAAGTTCAGCATTGGACTGAAATGAGAGTCTTGACCATTAGAGAGCTAGAGGAGCTAAAGAAGTCACAAGTAGATTTGCTCACAAACCTTCAGGACTCAGACTTGATGGAGATTCAAGTCATACAGAAAAAGTAAGAATAGAAAAGAGCCCCAACTACAGCAGACAGAATAAAGAAGGATACAGAGAAACGGGGGCACCATCAAGCTGAACATGTTAACAGAAGAAGGAAAATATTAGAGGGAGATAATGAAGTACCAGAGGGATGTTCTGAAAGACTGACCAGACATGGGAAAAATTTTAAAGACGATGTTGAAAAGGTGGAGGTAGCCTGCCTTGAGTTTTCCCAATTGAAAAAATGAAGCTATTCATGTGGAACTATAGAGGGTAGGGTTGACCCTTTACAGTCTCCTAATTCAAGGAGTCTTCAAGACTTCACCATCCAAGTTTTGCTTTTCTGTCACTAACAAAAATAAAAAAATAAAAAATAATAAAAAAATAAAAAAATAAAAAAAAATCATTAAAGCTATCTATAGGAAAGCGGGCTACAATGATTGATGGTTTACAATAGACCCTCAAGGTCTCAGTGGTGGCTTATTAGTGGCTTGGAACAGTGAAGTTATTGTGAAGCAAGTCTATGGGAATGATTTTTGTATCCAGATGGAAGTAGACGGATCAACTGATGGTTCATCCTTGTGGATCATTTTTGTTCATGCCAGTATAGATAGAAGACAAATAGAGTTGCAATGGATGTACCTGGAGGAAGAAAAGGCGAAATGGGGATCCACTTAGCTTTTAGGAGAATATTGGAATAAAACTTGTGACCAGAGTGAAAAGAGAGGTGGAAGAAGGAAACATGACAGGGAGTTCATTGGCTTTAATAGCTTTATCTCTAGAATGAGTATGCAGGAGATCAAGCTTGTTGGCCATAATTTCACATGGGGCAACAATATGGGAGATGAAAGCTTCATTGAAGAGAAAATTGATAAAAATTTTGGATCCTTTGAGTGGTGGAATAACAACCAGAATGCTGAAGTGACAGGTATACACAGAAGCTCTTCTTACCACATAATGCTTATTCTTCTCGACAGAGCAGGGCCTTTGGAAAAGAAGAAGCAGATGTTTGTTTTTTACAAAAGATGGCTCAAAATGACTGGTGTGACAGACATTATCCAAAAGGCATGGGCTGGAATTCAGACTGGTACACCCATGTTACAGGTTTCAGAGAAGATCAAAGCTACAAGAATGGCTCTTCTTACCTGGAGTATAAACGTCAAATTAGATGATGAGAAAGAGAAGACCCAAATCACAGAGAAACTGGAAATGATGAGCAAATCAGGAGAGGGCAGAGATTGGGAGACCTGGCACAGACTTAGGAAAAACTTTGAAACCTTGGTGAAAAAGGAAGAAGCATACTGGAGTCAAAAATCCAAAACACAGTGGACCAAAGAAGGTGACTCCAACACTCGGTTTTTTCATGCTACCACTATGTAGAGAAAGAGACTAAATGTCGTAACTAGATTAGTGGATGATAATAATCACATTTGGACTTCAGAGGATGATATAAAGGATCACATTTGTGAGAAGTTGTTCACAACTGAGGGGTCTCATGGAGGTGAAGACATCCTGCATCTAATTCCTGTTTCAATTTGAGATGAGACCAACTAAGATCTTATTGCTCAAGTTACAGAAGCAGAAATCAAAGAGGCCCTTTTCAGTTTGACTGCAGAGAAAGCACATGGCCAACATGGTATGAACCCTTTATTCTTCCAAGCCTTTTGGCCTGTAATTAAAAATGATTTTTTTCTTGCCATCCTGAATTTATTTATTTATTTTTTTTTAATATATCCTACTCCTCAAAAACTGTAACCACAAATTAATAACCCTTATTCCTAAATGCCTATATCTTTTCAACCTTAAACAATTCAGACCTATCAGTTTATGTGGGGTAGCATACAAAGTTATTGCTCAAATTTTAATTGTGAGACTGAAGGGGACCCTCATTTGTTGTATCAGGGACAATCAAGCTGCCTTCATTCATGGAAGGCAGCTGATGGACAATGTTATGATTGCTCATGTGGTAGCCCATTTTCTGAATAGGTACAAAGTGGGGAGAAAGGGTTTTATGATGGTTAAGCTTGACATGGAGAAGGCCTTTGATAGGGTTGAGTGGGGTTGTGTTAAAAAACATTTTACCAGATGGGTTACCATTACAAATTTGTGAACTAGGTGTTAACTTACATTTCCACTACTTGTTTCTATTTCAATTCGAAAGGAGATGTCTCAGGGTATATTTCAGCCACAAGGGGAATCAGACATGGGATCCTTTATCCCCCTATCTGTTTATCTTAATTTTAGAAGTTTTTTCCAGGTTGATCAATACAGAAGTGGGTTTGGGAAGATTCAAAGGTTTAAAAATGGAAAGCAACTGTCCCTCTGTCACTCATTTATTATTTGTTGATGACACGTTTGTTCTCTGTGAGGCCAATGCAAGTCATGCTCATATGCTTCTAACCATTTTGGACAAGTATCACAGATTCACTAGTCAGAGAGTCAATATAAGCAAATCTTCTATTTTTTCAGTAAAAATCTCAGTGACTCTGCCAGGTCCACTATCTGAAGCATTTTGAGAGTAACCCAAGAGCACAAATCAACGAGGTATTTGGGGCTCCATCTGGATATTGTGAGATCAAAAAAAGAGGCTCTTGAGTTTGTGTTGAGTTTTGTAAGATCAAAGCTTGTCAGTTGGAAAAACAACTTGTTGTCAGGAGCAGGTAAGGAAGTTCTTATATAAAGGCTATTGTGGGAGCATTGCCATTGTTCTCCATGTCCTGTTTTTGCCTTCCTATAAGCATTTACAGGGATATTGAGAGAATGACTGCTTGATTCTGGTGGGGCAAAGCTGATCAACAAAATGGAATGCACTGGAAAAATGGAGTCTCATGACTTTACCAAGAGCAATGAGAGGATTGGGGTTCAAAGACATTAATCTATTCAATGAAGCTCTCATTTTAAAGCAACTATGGAGGATTGTAAGCCAGCCCAACCTACTTGTCTCAAAAGTACTTAAAGAAAGCTACTTTGATAACTGCTCTTTACTTCAAACTAAAAAGATTTCCAATGCTTCTTGGTTATGGAGTAACTGGCTGCAAGTGAGGGATAAATTCAAGTAATTCTTCAGAGTGGAGGTTAAGAATAACAGAACCACTAGCATTTGGGCAGATCCCTGGCTTCCCAATGGGAGTTTGCTGAATCTATCATCAACAGATCTAGTTTCCAGTCAGGTTACATGCGTTTCAGACCTCTTCGAAGGAGGTAGAAGGTGGAACAGAGCAATCATCTCTGAAATATTTCCTATTCAAATCCAAGAGGCTATTCTGAATATCAAGACCTTGGATCCTCTAAGAAATGATAGATGGATTTGTGCTCTGGGCAGAAAAGGTAAGTTTTTTGTGGCTTGTTCATATTATCATCTGTTAAAACAGAAGGTCAATTTCCTGCACATTGCTGAAGGATGTTCTTCCTTTGTGAGAGACAAGAAGGTGAGATTGAAAACTTGGATTGAAGATCAGAAGCAAACTCGGACACTTCTTATGGAAGTGTTATCCAGTGAGCCATAATCTGTGTAGGAGGGGAATGGAAATTTATCAAACCTGCCAAAATGTGGTGAAGAGGTAGAGACTATTGAACATGTGTTGTTCAGCTGCAGAAGAGCTCAACAAGTTTGGAGGATAACAACAATTCATTGGGAGGATGTTCCTTCTGATAACAAACCCTTCAAGACATGAAGGTGGAATATCTGTGAAGCTGGGAAATTTGTGATTTATGAGGAGATGATTGAATTAACCACATATATTTTATGTTGGTTATGGAAATCCCACAATTTATGGAAATTTAAACATGATTGGTTGCTTGAACATATGGTGGTTAAATCTGCACACAGTGATTGGTTTGAATTTGCAGGTTGCTGTGGATCAGGAAGGTCTCATTGAGGAAATGAGATGTTGCTAGGTCCTTGGTTCAGTTGTAGCATGTTATTGTTCTTTATTGAATTCCCATAGCAGTTTATTTTTCTGATTTGAGTGGTTATTGTATCTCTAGAAGGCTCAGTTGTGTCTATTGCCTCTAGTGGATTTGGTTAGATGGAGTAAAAGCTTGTAGCAATTAGTTTTTTTTCTTTTTTTCTTTTTTTTTT